TAAGTCAGCTGCATGTGAGCTCACTTTTGCAGAAGAGTTGGAAACATGCCTGACACAATTCCAACTGATTCTGCCAAACCACTCCAAAGCATAGGGCAGGGATAGCTGGAATTTTCTGACTATATGGTTTTATTCAAGCATAAGAAATTAAACTATTTTCCCCTGCTTTCATTCCTGGAACACCAGTACTATTTTAACTAAAAGTGCAGAGAGAATATGCCCGAGACAGACACCTGGGATGGAAATTTTTTATCTAAAAGGCTAATGTTTGATATTATAAGCATCAACAGAAATGAAACAATCAAAGCTCAGAGGATGGAAATGATAGGCTAGTTAAATATTTTTTAAAACCACTTTTTCTAGTTCGCTGACCTTGCCATCAAAATAACAAGAGTGTGCATTTATGTTAAAAGGAACATAAATTACTTTTTTCTTACTCCTAAATAAGAAAGGTACACTGATTATAAATAGCACTGTTGGCTTTTTCAGCCCTCTCTTGCACTGATTAGAGTTAGCTGAGTACTTTGGGATGAGAGAAAAAGTAGTCAGAGAATGCCGGTTTGTCAAATTCAGATTTCTGAAGGGAAAACTCCTGCAGTGATTGCATTTTATGCAGCCAGAAGACTTTTATAAAAGCCTGCTTGCTCTCTGTTGGCTCCTCAGGTGGGTGTTTGGGGTTCCTTGCCACACAGCCTGCTCAGGGTGAGGGGCTCCAAGCTTGCAGAGCTTCTTGGGAGGTGTATGATACCTTTCAAATTGGTGCTCAATAGAAATAAATCCTGTATGAAAAATTATTTTCTTCAAGGTGCATTGTGTTTTATCTCTCTGAAATTGATAGAAACTACGTGCACTATAATTTAATGGTATCCCTTATATGGGCAACTATTCAAAGTATTTCAAGTTTTCTCTGAGAAAATGGTAAGTAGTATATGCAGTAGTATCAGTTACAGACATAAAACTGAAAGTATCTGCAAAAAAAAATGATAATTACAAAAATTCCAAGGACCCCAAATCCCCCAGTAAGAGTACACAGACAACATTTTGGATGTAAATAATCTAAAAATCAAATTCTCTGCCTCTTTCTATTTAGGCAACAAGACTAGTTTTTTTAAATGAATTGAAAGTACAACAGGAAAGATATCTCATACATGGGTAAAAGACTTCATTAAGTAACAGTGAAAGTTTAATAAAATTGCTTTGGGAATACCAGAAATTCAGTCTGGTCTTTCTGTGAAGGTAATATGCTGTGTGTCACCTGGCCTGGCCTCATAAGCCTGCTAGTAACTTCTTTCTCACACAGTTTAACTCTGGTCAGTCTTGAAATTCGTATCAACCACATCATTTTCCCTAAGAAATACTGCAAGAGAAACAAGCAGCATGGCCTCAGAGGTGTTTTTCTAACCTCAGCCTTTGTCCCTCCCCCAGTTTGTTTTTAAACATTAAGCAACACACTTAAATTTTTGTAATCTGGAATGGTAACCGTGTCATTACAAATTGATATAAAGCTATGCAAAAGAGCTAGTATTAAATCTATGTTGAAACAAATTGTTGTTTCTCCATTATGAGACACACTGTTATTGGATAAAACAATAATAAGCAACTGCCCTCTTGACCCCATACGTATCATCAGGATTTATTTTTTAGCTGTGTTTTATGCGTTCTTAAACACATTTGATAATTGTTTTACTAAGTTATTGCAATGACATACAGCTTGTCACCTGGATCAGCAATTTCCAATCCATACTATGCCATAGCTGTTATATTTGTTGAGAAGATTTAACTGAACACAGTTCTTGCTCATAACTGCTAAAAAGGAACCACAAAAATCAATTCAGCGTTGATGTCTTTTTTTCTTCCCCAAAGCAGCCAACAGTGAATACCTACAGAGTACAAAAGCAAAATAATACAGGGATACCTCCCTGGCAGACTTCTCCAGATTCCAGTGAAGTGCAATATGAGCTGGCTAATCAGGCTAACAAGTAGCTTTATTGTTCAAAAATAAAAGCCCTTTTGTGGTTAAAGTTATAGGAAACTGAGCTCAAATAGCACTTCTCTTGTTGCCCCAAATAACCATAGCAAAATCTTGCAAATAACTTAAATGGCATCAGGTTCCTTTCCCCTATCTGTTTCATGACCTCCATCATCTTGCTCTCTACAGTCATGCAATCTGCTACTCCTCAGCTATACCAATAAAATCACTGGAAGAAATCTGAATGAAGGAGGCACTTCTAAAGTTATTTTCAAGCAGACACCCCTCCACCCACCCCAGTGATGGGTGCACAGTGTAGCCGCTCACTCTCCCCTGGGGTACAGCTCTGCTGCTCACCACAGTATAGGGATGGACGTAAGTGGAAGGCTGAGAAATGGGGACAACTTAATCTAACTACTGAGGCAAATGTGGCTTGTAACTCCATTATAAAGAAAATAAACTCTGATATGAAGGGAGATAGAGTCCAGCTTTTGAACATTACACATTATATTAAATGTTACTAGAATTTTCTAGTGGAAGTGATAGTAATTTCTCCAACAGTGATTGATTTCTCCACATTGGATTTTTTGAAAGGGAAAGCTCAGTCCCCAGCACTGTAAATCAGAATCACACATCAGAAGGAAAAGTAAGCAAGAGAGCAGCGTGGGTAATTGCGCTTGCTCTCAGTTCTTATCATCTAGGAGTAAAATAAATGAAATAAACTGCACCCTATAAAAATATTAAGTATTTCCAAATGGTTGGCATGCATTTCTACCCTGGATTTGCAGAAGGCTGAGGTTCTGAATGACTTCTTTGCCTCAGTCTTCACTGGCAAATGCTCTGACCACACCACCCAAGTCTTGAAAGGCAGACGCTGGGACTGGGAGGAGAATGAAGACCTTGGGCCCACTGTAGGAGAGGATCGGGTTCGAGACCATCTTGAGAACCAGAATGTGCACAAGTCCATGGGTCCTGATGAAATCCGTCCGCAGGTCCTAAAGGAGCTGGGGAATGAAGTTGCTAAGCCACTGGCCATTATATTTGAAAAATCATGGCAATCAGGTGAAGTTCCCAACAACTGGAAAAAGGGAAATATAACCCCCATTTTCAAGAAGGGGAAAACGGATGACACAGGGAATTACAGACCAGTCAGTGTCACCTCTGTGCCTGGCAAAATCTTGGAGCAGATTCTTCTGGAAGGCATGCTAAGGCACATGAAAAACAAGGTGCTTGGTGACAGCCAGCATGGCTTCACTGAGGGGAAATCCTGCCTGACCAATTTGGTGGTGGTTCTATGATTTGCTACATCCTCCTAGTTTGACAATCACTATCTTTGAATAACTTCACCAATGTGTTTCTCAAGCTTGCTTGGAAGAACAGTTCATGCATCTTTAGAGAGCATATTGCATTCAGTGCAGAATTTGTCAGAAAAGGCAGATTATCTAACATGACAAACCATCTCTGCTACTACTCACCCATTTATTTATTCAAGTCTTTACTGTTAGTTACAGGGATTATTTTTTTTTAGCCCTTGATATTAAGCTCCTGCTCCAGCCTTCCCTCTGTTTGTAAAGACATACTCTGTGTGAAAGACTAGGAAAACAGCAGATACTGCTCATCATCCGTTTTATCAGCAGTAACCACTAATGGCATGACAGTTGCTTCAGTATCTTCTCCAAGATGGTATCTTCTCACTTCATGGTGAATTGCTTATCAGGCTGATTTGAAACCTCAAGCTTCTTTCAACGTGCTACTCATGACAAAGATCTCCTGATAGTCTAGTTTCAGAAACACTACCCTTTAGTCTTCAAGACAACAATCAGCATGTATGATGGGTACAAACAAAACCAGTTACAGAGCCAGCATTAGGCTTGCAATTAAAAAAATAAAACTACAAAAAACCCCAACTGAAAACAAGCGCACACACTCCCTCAGTTTAAGGCCTGAAGTGGTTCTAGACAACACCACTCAGTTTGTAAGAAAACTCTTCAATGGGGAGGAGAGTCGCGAAGGGGGAAAATAAAACCTGAAAGCACAGAAGCCTTTCACTGTGAATTCCAAATCTACCTCTAACACAAAAATAATACCCTGAGGAATAGTCTATTAGATGTCAATGGAAGAAATGAGTTCAGGAAAAAAGGTTGGTTATGCACAGGACAGGATTATGTTATTGGTTTTAACTTAGTTTAGAGAAGTTTAACAGATTGAGATGCAGTTCCACACAGATCATGACTCTTCAAAACAAGCCTGTTTCACAAGTAGCCAGATCCAATTGAGTTTCTTATAGAGACCCTTTCAGATTATGCCATTAATTTCCTTACACTGTTAAAATTATTCTGATGTACCCCAAAGTGTTTGAAACACAGTGACACAATAAATGTGATTCTGTAGAAATAACTACATTTCACTTTGCAAAAGGAAGCAGTAGCAAGTATCGTCCTATTATCCAAACAAAAATGCTTTGCCCAGTATCTTCCCTTCTGCTCAAAATATTTAAGGAGAAAACACAAGATAGGAAATCAAGTACAGCTTAACATGGGGGGGGGGAGAGAAAGTATAAATTCCTATGATTCATTAATACAATATTATGCCTAAATGCCCCCTGCCCTTGTTTCAAAAGCAGTAGACTATTTTTTGTACAGCTGCAGCCTACTTTATTTCAGGATGTGGAGGGCAGGCAGTGTTTTGAAATGCAAGACACCTAGAAAGCGCATTCAAAGGTTTAAGATGCAAATGACCATAGCAAATCCCTACAGCAAAAGGATGTAAACAGGATTAGGAAAATAAGAGTATATTACCATATTCCCCTCAATAAGCCACTGACTGAAGAAAACAATCCCAAACAGTTTCATCCCTTATTTACTTCCTCATTCTTCCCAAAACATCAGTAGTTTATTGTTGCTGTCTTGTATTCCTGAGGCTGCCATTTGGCAAAAATGCAGAACTTACCTCTGCTGCACAATGCCTTCGCCGCTCATACCAGGAAATTCTTCCACTTGTTTATTTTCCTTTACATATAACAAACAAAATATTTTAAGTTTGAATAATAATCTTTATTTCTTTATTAGTTTATTTGTAAAAGGTACATTGTAATCCTGAGCTACTGCTTTTATACATTTAGCATCATACAAAGACAGATCATTTACAGTTTGATCATTTACATTTATTGTGCTCCAAAATCCTTATCTGAATATCATTTTGTCTTAGCAGGAACATAGATAATTTAAATTACATGTATCCCTGAAACATCCACATTAATTTACCCATCTGACCCCATTATCTAAATCACTACAGTCATCTAAATCACTCAGGACATTCCTTCCAAATTTAGCAAGAACTTGTTTAAACTACAAGATGGGCAGTGCAAGAACTGGTCCCTCAATCCTTGTGAATACATCATTAGAAAAGATTCTGTTTTCGTATTCGCAAGTCAGTGCTAAATTGACTAGATGTACTTCGATGGAATGGTCCACGTTATAATTTGCTCATTTTCTTATTACAGCAGTTAATGTGAATTTACAGTGTCTCCCTTTGCAGTGACCAGTGCTTCAGTCTCCCAAACAGGGAAATTCCGACACGATCAGAGGAAAGTAAGAGGCAACTCATCACCATCTTATTGCCACCTATGTGACATTGAAGTATTATGAAAGTCATACAAAATGCTTCCCTTAGACCCTGTTAAGGAACTTGTACATACAACCAGAGTTAAGTTCCATTATCTGAGCTTGGCTTTTAGGATTTGCCAGTTAATAAAACAAACAAACAAACAAAAATAAAACCAAAAAAACCCAAACCAAACCCAAACACCTACATCCACGGATCCTTAAGAAGGGATTTATCCTAACTGCAATCCAATCTTGGATAAATGGAAATTTCATTGGACTACCAAAACAGCGTCTTTCTACCTGAAAAATCTTGAAGCATACAGTGTTTACAAATGTCTCTCTAGCAACAGTGTCAGTCTTTTAAAGTACACTCACAACTTTCATTTCCTGAATAAGGTCACTATGATCTTAGGCAAAAGATACAGTAAGCAGTTCAAGCAAAATGCTTATTGCTTAGGTTTTAAAGCAAGCCACTTTGATATAATTTTAGTTAAAATGTTAAGTACAAATGTGAAGCTACTGTAGAAACACTTATAAACACTTGCTTTTGAATTCTTACTGATCATCTAGAAAAATGGCAGACGGATTTTAACATAACAAAAGAAATGTAAAACTTAATACTGTCTGTTGAAATAAAATTCAACACCTATAAAGACAGAGTTATGAACATGTAAACACAGCTTTAGTATTCAGAGCTAGGGAATCTAGCAGCAAAACAAACTATTTGCATATTATGCAGTGCAATGAACATTTGTTCTTAGAGACCCCCAGTCTTAAAACTACTTTGAACAGAATGGAATCCTTAAAGGGAAGGTTTAAAAGTGTCCATGATGTAATATCCAGAATTACTAGATGTTCATCTGCTATAACCTAAATTTCTCTACGCAAAACTATGTTCTGGATAACTGACTTTAATGGCTCCCCAGTAGCAGGCTCGGATGAGGCAGATTAAACCTAAGAGATAAGCAATAGCCCAAGAAACATACGTTGCGTGATACCGCCTGGCAAAATCTTGTGTACCAACCTAGAAAGAGAAAACAACAGTGTCAAACAGCAGCACTATCTGCTCTTCAGGAAAGAGCAAATTACAATGAGAAGCACTGTAGCACCTTTTTAATGATGGTGACCATAAACAGATATTTTATTGGCTTAATTTTACACAATCATAGGATAATTGAACTTGGAAGGGACATCAGGAGGTCTCTAGCACCAGCTTCTAGATCAGAAGAGCAGGGCCAAGTCTAAGGTCACACAACACATTCCTCAGGGTTTTAATCCAGCTGGGTCCCAAAAAAACCCAAACAAGTGAAGGATGTAGGCCATACAAGCCTTTGGGCAAACCTTGTGGAGAAATGTGTTCACATTTTTCAACTCAGTAACGTTGTTAAGAAAGGATCTCTCACTGGTTATATTTCTGGCTGTCACTGTTTTTATTAGGGAAACTGGAAAATCCTTCATAAGTCATTGAAGGTCACACAGAAAATTATTTGAGTTATAACACAAGTTAGAGGTATAATGAGAGTCACCGATACGAACTGAACTGCAGGTATTTCCTCATCTGTATTTTCCTGGGACTTCTGGGTAGAAAACTGGCTCAAGTAACAAGTATCAAGTACTTCAGAGCCACACAAGCCAGATAGCTTTCTGGCTAATAGAGTAACAACAAAGTAAGCCTTTCCATTTGTAAATAGCTTATTACCTGGTTTTACTCCTTAGAGCATGTACAAATTATAAAGGCATATACATGTTTAACTTTTGGAATCCCATTTACCTCCACTGGAACTATATTCCTGGCAATATGTATTTCTGGAAACCAGGAAATTTTGAGAGTCCTAGCAAGAGCAAGATGTTCCACTATTTCTACAGTGAAGTAAAACCATTTTTCATTAAAAAAAAAAAAAAAGAGAGACGAAAAGTGAAGTTAAACATCAGAAAGATGAGACTCTCAAAGTGCCGGAGTATTTTTTCTTTAGGAACACTTCATTTTGCTGGCCAACTCAGATGATTAAGTCCATGGTTTTAACAGAGGTAACAAAACCCACACAAAGTTAGGAGGCTTTACTCAAATGCTGGGAAAACAGCTTGCCAACCAAGGTGCTCCTTTGTACCCACACACCCCTGGCACACAGTTGCAAGTATATCATAGTATGCCACTCACAGTTAATCCAACTCCAATGAAGATGCATATCATTCCAATTGTAATATATGCACAGCAGCGCCTCCGTGGCAGTGCACTTCCAACAGAAGAACTGTTAGAAAATAAATAGCATTTTAAAAGCAAAAACAAAACATAGACAGAACCCCCTTACATAAATAGTAACTGTTCAGTCTAAATGGGGGAAGGATAACAGAATGAAAATACACATACACCATCTTAAGTTCATAAAGTTGTAGGCAAAGTTTACAGTTTTACCAAGCAGTAAAGGACAGAGTCCATGTGCTTGTTTTAAAGGTGACCTATTGGTGAAGATTATCCAGTATCTAAGAATATAGCTGCTTACAACAAAGAGAGGTGCCACACCTACAGTTTGAGTGCACCTACCTCTTATATCTACACTGCACCCAGATAAGTATGGTGGAGCCTTCTGAATTGCAAAACCCAAGTTTGCTTTGCAGCTTCTATGTAGGTTGCAAGACACCCTTTAGACTTTTAATACATGGCTTTAATACAGTCACTGCATAGAAGTAACTCACAGCACTCGTAAATGTCATGTAACAACCTGCACTTTATTTGATGGAGTATTTCACTCAATACTGTTGACCGGCTAAAATTCAACCCTATTTCTTGAAGATTAAAAAATTTTAAATTAAATTAAATTAAAACATTTAGTCACAAACAGAGAAAATTTTTCACATTCAACATTGCAAAAGACTGAAATCCTCTAGACACTTTTTAGTAACTTCAGAACCATGACAAGTTATTTTTACTTTTCAATTTTCTTTTAGAATTCTACCAGAAGCTACCTGAGTAGCAAAAATCGCTGTTGGCAACCAAGGTAAATAAATCCTCTGGAAGTTCTGTCACTCATCATCTAGACATGGAACTCCAACACAGACAGCTTTGTCTCTATCTGCTGTATTAAGCTAACAATTACAGTGTTTCAGTCAAACAGATTACAAAATGCAAGAAAGACATTTCATTCTTTATTACAGTTTAGAAAAATTACTCCAGAAGCTCAGCATTGTTCAGTAAATACATCTTAAGTAACTCATCTGCAATCACGTACAGCTCTTCCAATGAGAATAGGAACATAATTTAATTCCACTGAAATACAGTTAATGTGTAGGTCCACTGAAAGGCCTAGAGAGGCAGAGGTGCTTTCGTAAGACATGTACCATTTATCCTGGAGGTAGTTTTGGAAGCATCCTGAAGCATGCTGTCATTAGTTAAGTACTTCACTCCATTCCAAGAGGTCAACATGCTTTTGGAAATACTGGGATGCTTATACTCTGCGTTCAAACATGCAAGGGAAAATAATTTTCATCTCATGATAGTTCAACATATTCAAGATGAATGTATAACAAAGAAAACACTGCTGAGCTATTGAAGTAGTACATCTGTCATATGACTGACCAAATTTCTGGCTCTAGTTAATTAGCAATAGTAAGGCCTCATATGCTTAGCATGTGACTAGAATTTTTGACGCATTCATCTTAGAAAGGCTTCAAATAGATCGGTTTAAGCAGCTTTACTCCAATATTATTCCTTTACGAGGAATTTCTAAAACACTCCAAGAAAAAAAAGAAGCACAAACCCACAGTCCTCAAGCTTTACATACTGAGCTTGCAAGGCAAGGGTTGAACATAGCGACCACTCACAAGCCATCTACTACATGTTTTCAGAAAAGGAAATATTCCAAAACTGTTCTGCTCATTAACTTCTCATGGAAAATTACTTCTTAGTGAAAGCCTTGGCATGCACATTCAGGATGGGACTGGGGGTGTGATTAAGGTGGGAGAATTCCCAATTGGGGAAATAATGGTATCTTACCACCCTCTCACACAAAGAACCTTCCCTCTACCCCACCTACCAAAAGCCACCTTAAATATCTCTACAGCCAGTCTAGAGGAGGGATATGTTGTCCAATTCCAAGTTACACAAGAAAAAAAACACCCAAACACAGAAGTTTCATAAAAGGGGACAGGGAAGAGACTTCTCCAAAAGCTGAACTGATGAGCACTGAGCTTGCCAAACTGACTTCAGGTTGCCTCCTTTGCAGATTTCCTGGCTGTGTACTCAGACAGCTAATTCTATTACAGAGCTGGATACCTTAAGATAAGCTGGTAGAAATGTCAGATTCAATACACCTCAATTAAACATGATGCCCACTGCACTGTGTATTTCACACTAAGTTCATTTTGGGAAGGAGACCCTCACTTTCAGAGCTGTTTGACTTATAACCCTGTTTTGAACTGTGCATGCATTTTTAATAGCATGTGTATTTTCCACCCATGTTTCTCTGTTCCCTCCTATACAGAGAAAAAAGGCCAGGGGAGAAACTATCACCTCAAAAACAGAAAAAAAAAAAAATGGAAACCTTAACAGTATCTTAAATTAACTGCCTTTCTGTTCTCACAGAAGGCACAGATGAAATACATATACAGTCTATGTTTCTACAGTCACATAACAGACCTGGGAATACTTAGTAATCCAGATAAACCATAATTTGTTTTTCATCTCCTGACAGCTATACTAGCCACTGGGACACTCTAAATAGTGAGGTTTCCCTCTACACCACAAATAACACATAAACCACCCAAACTAACTTGAAATCCAGAAAGCTAAAACTCTGCCCCAAACCCTACCAAATGCAACAACTTTAACAGGCACATTTAGGAATACTAAAACTGGGATCAAAAGAACATGTTCAAATTGCAGAAGCAGCTGTTTGCATTGTGGGACTACTGAGGGTGAACTCCCTAAAAACCTACCCAGAAGCCAGCGGTTCGTTCTTTCCAAGTTGCTGCTAAGGAAGCAAAGGCACCTGCCAGGGCTTCAGGCAGTGGCAGCAGATATAAAAGACAGCAAAGCCAATTTATCATCAGGTAGTAATTAAAAGAGGGGGAAACCACCACAAGGGACAGAGGCTATTAAAGGAGTAGCGCAGGAAAGAATGCAGGGTCACCTGTGCTTCAAGTAATAGAAATTATTGCCAGGATTTTAGACATGCCCTTAGAAGGGTTTTTAAGAGGAAGATCAAAATGATAGTATTTTGAAGGTGAAGAGCACTGCTGAAACTAGCTTCCACAGTAGTGATGGGGTTTCGACATCCCTTTCTTTCCTCAAGGTCTTGCAGACTTTGTGGGACTAAAGTGTTATAAATTCATTAGAGTTCATCACATTGTCCAACCTTAAAGAGAAAAATAAGTAGGTTCTAAAGGAAAATAATAAAAAAAAAAAAAACAACCCAGGGAGATTTGACATTCTGAAACAAGACCTTGTAATATTCAATTCTTTTGCTAGGAACTGAATTCATGATCCTGAAATATCTAGATGATTTAATATACACTTCGGGAAAGAGAGCAGCAGACAAAAAACAGTTCCTGCTGCTTCTCCATCATTACATGAGAGAAATACCAGAAGCTTTCCTTAAACCTTTCACTCTGTTGGGAAACAGGCTGATAGACATTTGGTATTTTGTATTTTGATACACAAAAGATGACGAAAAGAAGAAAAAGAAACAGTTTCTCTCCCACTCCCAGGTATTATCCTCTGGTGCCTTTTCCCTTAGTCTATCCTTTTTTCAGTGGCAATCATCATCTGAGTTAACAGAAGGAAAGAATAGTTTTGTATCTGACTAGTCAGCTACTAATGAAAGAAGTTTTCCATTAATAAGCTGAAATAAAGAACCCCACATTCCCTTCTGACTACTTGGCTACAGGTATGACAATCTCTGTCAAAGGGCTGATTGAAAGCAGCAGGTCACTGCAGTTATTTATCCCATCATCACAACTCAAAGCTCTGCTTCACCTATACTGTGCCCTAAATCCATGCATCAGAAATGTTTATGCTGCTGGAAATGCAGAACTCTTGACCATCACATCTCAATCGTAAGAAGGTATCAAGCAACTCATTCAAAGCTAAGTCACAGTATTCCATAGTTTGCATCCTCAACCCAAGGACAGAAATGTCTATTTGTTAAAGTTGGTTTTGTATTCCGTGATTCAGTGCCAGGCAAGCTGTAATTTTCACAAATTGCACTGCAGAGATGCTCTGGTTTTATAACATACAGATAGCTGCTTTGCACCTTCCAGACAAAAATATTAACGAAGCCTTAAACTCCATCTGGATTTTAAAATACAAGTAACAAATCAACAGAAGACAGATCAAAAGATCATACAGTATGACTTTTAGACTGTTCCTTGGAGAAGGTTGTTGGTTTTTTTGCTGTTGTTTAGGTTGGGTTTCTGTTTGTTTGGGTTTTGTTGATTTATTTTTTTAGTTTTAAAAAGGCTAAACAGCAAATGATTTTGTACCTAGACAGAGTCAAGAAAAACACTGAGGTCAACTATCAAGTGTGACATGGTAAAATATAAAACAAAGCTGCAATTAGTTTAAAAGGTAACAAAACAAACCACAAAACACCAACCCATCCCCCCAGGCCTGAAAGGACTGAATGCAATTACACCAGTAAGAACATCCCTGCAAAGCAACATCTCGTCAAGACCATGAGCTTTTTGACCTAAGCAAATGACAACATACCAACTACTCCACACCCAGTGGGTTACACTCCTCAAGTTAAATATACTTGCAGGCTGAATCTCTATCGAATACTCCAGGAACAGATTTCAACCACTGTTATGACCATGCTATGCCAATACCTACAGTACATTTACCCTAAGCCTTCTGCTTCCCAAGGGACCTGCACCCTGTGGTTAAGATTCCATACAAATTTAGAGATGCTAGTAGTGTAGCTTTTAACAACTCAAACTAAGTGACCTTAGATAAGGAAGCCCAAACACTCAAAACCCAAACCAAACCATAAAACACTCTTACAGCTCTTGTATTCTAATTTTTCTCACTGAAGAAATAGCAGGTGAGTAGACAAGTTATTCCACAATAATTCATAAAACATTAAACAAGCTAATGCATTGTGATACTTAATACAAGTTAGTTGTCAACTTTATGAAATCAGTAAAACCTCTTTCAAATTAAGACAAAATTATTTCATTTCCTCCTTTTACAATAAGGCAATTCAAGTTCCGCATTTAAACACGACATCTGATTAACTGTATGAAGTGGTAAAATTTCAAGGATGCAGGTTGTTAATTTTAAGAACCCATTCCTGTCTATTGTCAGCAGCTTATGTATGCCTCTAGCAAGTCAATCAGAGCGTTTTAATAAACGCAGGTTGGATTTGTCAGTGTTACTGACTTGGGCATAAGGAGTGGAGAATTCACATGCACATAACAAGCTCCTTAGTCCTGAAACTCAGATAAGCACGGCAAAATAATCAGCATGGCAGACATTTTACTCCAAAGACTTTATGGAAGAAACTCTGGCAACTCATTTAGCAGTTAATTTATGTAACCTTGCTTTGAGAGAACTTACATTTTTTTGCAGTGTGGGCATTTTGCTAGTGTGTTAAACCTCAGCTCCATCCACTGTAAAGAGAACAAAAAATAAAAACGTTGAAAAACTGGCCTGAGAAAGTGTTTGCTGTACTTCATACTAAACATCACTACGAAAACATTCTGCTTCTCAGGCTTTATTTGTTTCTTGCTTTCTTCCATAAATGCAGTGCCCTTTTGTCAGTGGCAACACAGGACTGGAACTGACTGGGATTTCCATCGGAACATTTCCCATGACTTGCCTTAGTATTACAAGATTCACTTGACGTAATGTGGTTTCATGCACAAGCACAGTATGAGCAACATGATGATATTAATACATTTTTTTTCTCTCATTTCCAGGACTGTGCATATACCCTGAATCCAAATAAATGTGTTTTCTTTGGCACAGTTACAGATAGATGCCTTTTCCCATCTTTCCCCAAACCTTTCACCATTTGTTAAAACAGTGCACAGAAAGATTAAAGAATATTTGAGAAAGTACATGTCTTTGCAGGTTTTATACCAGTAGAGACCACCATTGGCTACTGTTGACATTTTAAAAAGGTGATATATGTACATTATACAGTCATAACCTCCCATGCACAGTCACAAACCCTGGAAACAGCTTTAGTGAAAGTAATGCCTAGAACTACCTCAACCCCAGGATACAGAGTCATATACTCATTTAAAAACAACAGTTTTCTGTTAAATTTAATTGCGGTAATAGGGTATTACACAAGCATTTTAAACATGTTTGAACAAGAGGGGGGGGAGGATTATTGTTCTCTGCTCTGCAAGCATTTATATTGTACTTGCAGCTCTCTTCTGCTGCCTTTCTCAAGTGGACAGTTTGCACAGTTTCCTGGTGAAATACAATTCTCCCCTCCCTACTTAATTTATGCAAAAGTCACACTGCGAATTACCAGCTGGGGAAGAAGCCACAGCACAGACCACCAATGCATTCATTCAGATCCTTATCTCTGTGAGAAATCAGGAACTGATCTCCTGAAGTGAATAGCCTTGTTATAAGTGCTATGAACAAAGATCAGAGCCCACCCTTGTACAGAAAACAGGACCTACCTACAGCACAGCACCATTTAAACACTGAGAAGAGAGTTATGATTTGATGGGCAAAGAAAGAGGATATGGCTTGTAACACCTTGCCAGTACAAGCAGGTTTTGATGCAAGAGAGGTTCTGATCTGTAGTATTTAGGGTGCACTTTCCTGCCTCTTGAAGAGTTTCCCTCAGTTTTATTTACTTCTAATGGGCATAATCATTCACTAGAAAGATATCAGGTTGTTGTTTTTTTTTTTTTTCCCTGGCCCTGAAGTATCCAATTACAATCAGTTACATAGTTGTTCTTTGTTTACAAAGACTTGAGCAAACTGACTTAGCATAGTTCTATTTTATCCCTTAATGAAGCAAAAGCTTCTGTAATACTTCCCACCTGAGCAATGCATTTTAGGAGCGTTAATTCTACTTCCGTACTCCTGCCAGATGAGCAAGCTAGCTGTTTTTCTGCATCCCTGTCAAAAGCTACTCAATTTCCCTTAGCTCTACACAGCAAAAGTGGGATACGGTGCAACTGTCAGTACCAGGGATGGAGACAGACCTCTTCAGAGCTGTTCTTTATGCTTTTTAAACTGCAATTCCAGAAATAGAATATAGTGTAAATCCAGGACTTGCATTTTACATATTTGTAATTTAACTTCGCTGCTGTACACTAGTTTTCTCCCAGTGCACGCAACTCCATTTCCAAGGTTACTCATTAATAATCTTTCTAGGGTTTTATTTATTCTAAGATTTCTTATTACTAGCCATAATTACTAACAGATACAAACTCAAATGCATTTGGGCTCCAAAATAAAGAGGCATCAATCTGCTTTCATTGAGAGTTACCTGGAGGTAACAGAAGGACTGTTATGAAGCCTTCTGAACAAATTGGAAATATTTGCAGAAAAAGAGCAAAAGGATGACAAGACATTCAAGCTACAAGAATTCAGATCACACTAGCACAGTGGGAAAATGTTATTTTCATGTATGTTGTAATTTGTGGAGTTTTGGTGTGTTTAACAAGTACTTTAAATCATGCTTAAACCTGCTATTTTTTACATGTATTCCACCGTGTTTTAAAGTATCTAAACTTGTTAAGAAAATCTGAGGTTACAGTTTCATGAAACTTAACTCCCTGCTGAGAATAAACTATTTTTCCAACTGAAACAATACAGAAACAATAGCCCAAACCTCTGGTTACATGTACTAAAACACAGATGAAGATTTCAGAGAGCTCTTCAATGTTTCAGCAAGGCAATTACTAGAAAAATGTGTCATTTTTTTTCCATTTGAGTCTAAAATACTTCTCAGTACCTTCAGTACAAGACAGAGGAAAAAATAAGGGGACGGGGAGGAGAAAGGGTCTTCTATTCAATTATTTCAGAAGAAATAATTTTCATATTTGATGAAATTTAGAAAAATAAAACTGACAAAGCACAACAGACAAAGTGCAGTGCTTAGCCTACAGCATCTGGCTTCCATAGCTTGTTCCTGGTGTCCTGTCCTCAAGGGTCTACCCAAAATCAAGATGGTAGCAGACAGATGGTGGCGGGGAGGACAACACAGGGACATCTCCAAAGTCAACTCAGCCTCTGCCAGCCACAATTCTTCAGAGCCAGAGACCCGTGGGAGAGGGGTTGAAGTGAATACCTTACTGCTGACAGAAACAGTATCTCAGTCACAGACCAAGTCCAGAAGCTCTCAAAAACCCTAAACCTGATCAGATTGCAATTTAGCAGGACAGTTAAACCCTCCTCCTGCCCTCCTTTTCTATTCTATCACTTTTTCCACTTGCCTGAACTCAAACTGCCAGAAAGAGAAACACAAGGGACTTCATCCTATCAGATTACTGAAGAAAAAAATAATCTGATGAACAAAATGAGAATAACTAGTGATAGTTCAGTATTGCCTCAGTACTAAGCCATTTTCCCAGCTAAGACAGAAGTAGTTTTGAGGCACTCCATAGCATGAAGCATGCTTTTAACAATTTGTCAAAAACAACCCCCACACACAGAGGCGGGGAAAGCCCAGCCCATACACACAAATAAACAAAAGAATCTTGGAAAGGTGATGAACAAGTTGATACTCTTAAAAGAACACTGAACAAGCAACTAACAACTTAACTTTTACACTCCAGCAATTCTAGCTTTACTTGTCTATTTTATTTATTCTTTAACTCCCAAGTAAAGTAAAACAGGTACCTTTTATTGAGTTGCTGAGAACATTCAGCATTACGTATTTGCTTTAAAATGTGAATATAGCAAAGGGCAGAAATACCCCTGCAGAAGCTGAATTTCCAGGCTAGCTAAAGCACTTCTGTTTTCTGCTTCTCTGCTCACTCAAACGCAAACAATTTCCTGATTTTTCTTAACTAAAAGTTTTATTTGCAGAATCTCACAACTTAGTAACAGAAACAGCAGAAGAGTGGTGGGAACGCTGTGTAAAGTGAGAAAAAAGGGTTTATCTCTTGATAACTACCATAAAAGAATTCAAGCTTCAAATTTCTAATGAATTTAATGGTTATTTTTCAAAGTTCTGTGAAGTGGTAAATTGGTCTTACTGGCAGATGAAGCAACCAGCAGATCTGAAGTCACATGCACAAATTTCAAGTAAGAAAACCTAGCCTTTTAAGGCATAATCTAGTAGTTAGGAGCAAAATCAGCCTTTCTGGGTTTGGTGCTTTTCCCCCTTATGTTCCCCTAAAGAAGTTCATAGTGTAAGCTACAGAACTAATTTGGGCTGCACTTACAGAAAGCAAATAGAAGATAAGGACAAATAAAACTCCCATACTTATGAAAGCCCTCAAAGTTCAGCTAGTAATTTAGTAATGAGAATTTTACTTCATAGCACCGACTCTCCCTAATAAAAAAAAAAAAAACAAACCACCTTAAAATCACATAGTAGAAGGTCTTGTGCACTGAGACCACATTAAAACTTAATGCCATAACTGTTCTACAGCACTATTTTAACCTGTGCAGTTTTAAAGCTGTGCTAAAAAGCATAACTGCATTACAAAATTAGATTATGACTCTGTATCAAAGTATAGTGTTCATACAGGTACTCAGCACTTTACTACTTATTTACTTACATACTAATATATTAAAAAATAGAAGAAAAGGCAACCTTTAATAAAAGAATCCTGTTTTAAAGTATGTACTTGAGACAGCTTTTTCTTCTGTAGATCAGTAGTTTTCTGTTAGTAGCATTATTCTATACTGCATGCAATGTTCTTACTAGTTAAGGCCCTATACAGACTTGCATTTAGAAGGGTTAAATGCAGACAGATTATTTCTCAAGCATCTAATAGTTTTGCAGGTAGCACATTACTTGTAAGTTTATATTCAATTCCCTAGTTTCCCTTTAAAAAAAAAAAGTGTAAGAGCCATCTCTTGGTCTCTGCATTCATCATCTACTACAGTAGTTAAGCCATTACAGCGCACCTCACTGATCCATAAGCCTGAAGGCACAAGTCTATTCCATTATAGAGCACATTACAAGAGAACCCTTCTTCTCTCGCTGCTGATACAAGCCAACATGGGGTGCCATCCCCTAAGCTTTTCTCCTTTCACAAAATGCACTTGAGTGTTCTCTGGCCTGAAACAATCCTTTATTTTAGGAATGAAACACCACTCTGATGACTGTTCAGGTCCTTCAGCTGTACCACTTAACTCAGCCATTTCACTCTCAAACCTGACAAACATTTAAGCACTGCTAGGTGCTGAAGCTAAAGCTAACTCATGCATTGCAATCAATATTCAAGCATGGCAGCCACTTATTCATGAAAAAGACTACAAACAGTTCAACAGCAAATGAGTATTTTTGCACCCATCCACTTCAAAAACAGGATCAACTGTCAGCCTCACAGAGAAACCAAAATCTCCAGTTCTGTAACAACTACAGATAAGCTAATGGCAAAGAGATAACAAACAGCTTTCAGGGCCCACACAGCAACAGCACAACAGTTCTCTTAGCCGCTGCAGAACATAACCATCATTGCAAGCAGAAGAAAACCTGGAATTGTAACATTTTTTGCCAGCACTGTCCACTCTCACATCACTAACCAGTAAGACTGACTTTGCACTTTTCCCACACATGCACAGAAAGGCTGTTAAAAGTTTTACATGCATGTAAAGATAACCACATACAGAACAAACATCCAACTACAGAAGAAGCTTTTAGTTCCTCAATAATGCCATACCATGAGGCAATATGCTCTTAAATGTGCTTACAACAAATAGCTTTCAGGATAGCCGGGTGAGGTTAAAGGCAAACGTGGTGCTTTACTTACAAGGAACGTATTTCCACAGTGCCCACACACCACTCTAGTTCCATCTGGTTGAACTGGCAAGGCAGGCTGAGCTGGCTGCTCTTCTGGGATCAGCATTACTGGACCAAGAGTAATGATGCGTCTACTGCGTTAAGAACATTAGATGCACATGTAATTAAAGTAGCAAAAGAGAAGGATGATGCGCTTAAGCAATTAGCTCAGTCATTACCAAATATTTTACGCTTTTAAACTATCATCTGCTTTTGGAAACAGACAATGCATCCAGTTTTGGTCTCTCTCCAAAGTGTTTTCCTTTTCAGTTTTCAAAACATTCTTTTTCACTGCAAGATCAGCCATGCAAGCCAGAACCCTGCAGGGATCAAAGCCTTGCCATCATATGGCAGAAAACACTCCTCAGGAAAACACAGTCTTAATACCCTGGCTGAGGCAAGCCCATGACCTGGAATGTACATACCCACGTGAAACATGCAGAAAGGGTAAGGAGTCTTCTATAACCTCATTCTCCTTCCCAAGTCAGATACTCCTCCTTCCCACACTATTATAACCAGGTCAATATAAGCAGCACATCCATAATTGTACAGTAAAAATTCCATTCAACTTGAATGAATTAAAAAAGAAAACCACCCCAGGCTGACTAAATGCAATCAATTTACTTTAAAAAGCAGTTTGTAAGGATTTGCTTTTATGGTCAGGTTTCCAGTTTAATTATATAACTTGTTTGTCCAAAATGACAGTACCCAAATTAACCAACTCAAAGCAGAACAAGCATCAGGCTTCCTAGCATGAGAAAAGTAAAGGGAAAAATTAAGACATTATGTACCTTGCACTGCATCTCTCTCCATATACAACCAAAACTGTATGCTGGGAGGCCTCCCTTCAATCAGGAGCCTTCCATTTAGGCCATATCTCCAACTCTCTTTAAAAGTACCCCAAGTTTGCTCATCTGCTAGTAAGGTAAATACATTTACCATCACAGAAAAACTGCTGAGATACATGCTTTGGGGATTAGTTTAACAACATTAAGGAGTTTCTGATTCTGCTTAGTTACCAACCACAATATATTACAACTGAAGCATCCCACGAACATTTTTTCACACTTAGAAAATGTTTGTAATTTTTTAAGTTTTCCTCAACACTGCATTAGTTACAAGTAAATAATCAAATCCATCCCCAATATTAAACTGTGTTTCAAAATCAGAATAGCCAACAGATTGGCAACCAGGGCTCTTGGTGCAGTAGAAATGTACCTGCAGACCTAGCCTTCATCTCAATTTCTCCTGATAGAGCTGCACCACTTACAATAAAAAAATTCCTACCTCAGTGGTATCTTTAACACCCAAAGCCCAAGGTAAGAATGTTCACTATGGCAATCAAGCTTGTTTCTTTTATAAAGAATGTGTGCATTAAAGTCAAGAGGTGAGAGGAGACTGAAAACTCAGCATAATAAAGAAGGAAGAACTAGGCTGAAGCCAACTTATTGCTCTCTCCCATTTCATTCTGAAGTCCCCAGTCCAAGCTAGGCAGAGGGAGCAACCTGTGCGCTTACAATAATTGAGTTTGCAAGAAATTATGAAAGCCATGTCCCAGAAACGAGTATTTTCTTCCCTGTTCTTTATAAGATTTTTTTCCTTATGAAGTAGCTAAATTGGGAGACACACATCTGAGACTATCACTAAATAAGGAAAAAAAGACAATTTTTCTTCTTTAAAGGTAATCTTAAAAAAAAAAAAATAATTCAAAACTGACACTAGCACAGCTTGTGTCTGCAGTAACTCAATAATGCTCTGTTAAGTGTCAAGTGTACAGGGGTACAGGTTTGAACCTCTCAGTTTTAAATATTCAACACAAACCAGCTTTACAGACAACTCTCTCAAAGCACTTACAGTTTTTTATTCTTACCAGTTTGGTCTTGGACAGCCTATTTTCCGAGACGTATCCTTACAGATAAGGAGACAGTTACATTGACATCTAACATACTTCTTCCCTGAAGGAGGGTTTTTGATTGGCTAAACAAAGAAAAAAAAAAACCCACAAAAGAACACACATCAGAAGTCATAGCACTTCACATTTTTTCCTCTTAACAGTATGACAAAGCAGAACAACTTCAGTTACAAGTTCTGGCTAACAGAGAAATACAGTTCCTCTTACAGAGGAAATCTGAGTCAAGACAAAATTAGAAGCTTTCTCTCTTTCCAGAGAAAGAAGTGCAAGTTTCCCCACTAGAAAAAAAATGAGAGATTCTGCAAACTAATGGAAAAAGCATTTGTATTTTTAGCAATGACTAATTCAAATCACTGCTAAAACTTCGGTTTAGTCATTTTTTAATATGTGAGCTTAAGTAGTGGTATATTAAAACAAAAAACAAAACAAAAAACAACCACCAAACAGTCAAAACATCAAACCAGCCTCCTTGCCGGTACAATGGCTTTACTCAACAGTGAAAGTATCAGTCTGGTTCTCAGTCTCCAAGAGACTATGCAGACATCACTGAACTGTTAATTTTAAATTAAACTGTATTGAAATTATCTTTCTTCAACGTGGGAGTCAAGTTTCCAGGTCCCTTTCATACAGCAAACCAAAAGCTGCAAGATCTTTGGTTTGGAACATTATATATTGGCAAGTAAAGTGCGCATTTACACCAGGTTCTCTACTTTCTCTTAGATAAAAAGAGAAAAAAAGGAAGAAACAAAAGAAGAAAGTTCTAAGTTTTAAGGCTTCCCATTTTCAGGACATATTTTGAAGCTCTGCATAATATAAATCCAATCCCGTGTTTTTCATGCAAATGCCCCTCACAGCTGTGGAATGCTGCAACATCAGACCCCAAAACTAAAACTGGCAGGAAGGAATAAATAAATAAATAGAAGCAGAAGGACAAATACTGATGACTTGAAATACAAAAAGGGGAAGAAGACAGAAGAGCAAAAAGGTCTGTGATCACTAGGGAAGAACCTAGAATTTATACACGTCAAGACTGTTGCATTGTGGTTCATTAGCAAGCTAACGAACTGAATAGTATTGCAGGAAGAAAGCATACAGTCAGAGAGAGAGGTATGGTTTAGTTACTTTGTTTCTTCCACTGTTAAAATAATTCAGTTGTTTTTTCATCCCACCAAAACCAGCTTCACCCTTCTTTACATGAGAGCAATTGCTTAAACAACATGTTTGCTTTTTGTCCTCGTCAGAAGGAAACACCCTGCACAGCCAGCTCAGAAGCGTGAAGATTTACCCTAACTGCTTTTGACCGTCCTCTGGCCAGCAGTTCTGAAATCTGCACACTAACTATACCGCAGTCAGCTGTGCTGACAAGTCCTCTGAAGGGACAGCAGGAACTCATTCTTTGTAGGTGAGGACATGAATTCTACCAGCAACTTACTTCAATTTCCCCCCCACTTTCCTTCACAAAAAGAAAACGCTAAAAATCCATTTTACCGTAGCTTCATTGCAAACTGTGCACTTAACAACATGTTGGTGTAGCTTGCCATCCAAATTGATTAGCGACTGGCACACACGGCAATTTATTACAGGAACACCGCTGGCACCTGGACTTGCAATGGCAGTATATGGAGGAGGAAGCTCTGCTGCAAGAGATCAGGAAATCCCAGTTGGAAAAACAGAGGATCCTAAAACATCAGCAAACATACTATCTAACAGTCTCAGCGTCAAAATAAGAAAAACATATAAAAATTTAAGTTAATGATTTGTATAAACATAAGACAAACCTGAGTTTGCTTTCCTCTCCCTCACAACTTATGTGTACCCCAACATCAACTGTAGTTGTACATAAAGCATACTAGCAACACACTCTTAAGTCACCCCAGAAAACAGATCAGGCAAAAGGCTCATCTATGCAACTTTGCTTTCAAACCAGCTTTTTACAGTCTTTAAAAGGGGGTGAAAAACCCTGAACAAACCTCAAATCCACCACAGATTAGTAGCAACCAGAGACTGGCTTCAGATGGAAAAAAAATACAGAAGATAAAACAAGGCACAGGTAGGTAGAAGAGCCATAACCAGCATTTAGAAACATCTGGATAGACTGAAACATAGGCAAGTGTTATCACATAGTAACAAATACTACAGGTAAAAATACAGAATCACAGAATGGTTGAGGCTGGAGGGGACCACCAGAGGTCACCTGGTCCAACAACCCTGCTCAAGCAGGATCACCAAAAGCACATTGCTCAGGATTGTGCCCAGGTGGCTCTTGAATATTTCCATGGAAGGAAACTCCACCACCTCTCTGGGCAATCTGTTCCAATGCTCAGTCACGCTCAGTGAAGAAGTGTTTCTTCATGTTCAGGTGGAACTTCCTATGGTTTAGTTTAGGTCCCTTGCCTCTTGTCCAATTGCCTGGCATCACCAGGAAGAGTCTGTTCCTGTCCTCTTGACACCCTCCCTTCTGATACTCAAACACATTGATCAGATCCTGCAGAGCCTTCTCAAGGCTGAACAGGAGCAGCTATCTCAGCCTTTCCTCACAGGAGAGAGACTCCAAACCCTTAGTCATTCTCGTAGCCTTTTAGCTGGACTTCCTCCAGGAGCTTCATGTCATGTCCCTCTTGGACTGGGGAGCCCAGAACTGGACACAGTGCTTTAGGTGAGGAATACAGAAAAGTCCTGTTAAGGAAACAGGTCTTGGATTTGAAATGGCATGAAGTGCTTCTTTTTTGAGTGCAACACCACCAGGTTTATGCCATCTTGATGGGGGAAAAAAAATATAAATTAACTGAAATTTCAGAGCTTCTGCTTTGAAGGGTTCAGGTATCTTTGTTGTCCAAGAGCCAAAGCACAGACACACAAGGAGGTTTTTGATCACTTAGGACAGGGTAAGAAGAGAGACCACAGCATCTCCAGGCCCCCGTGGAAGGGCAGATTTCAGCTTTGCCAGTCCTGAGCCCACCGCAAACAAGAGGCAGTGCTCAAGATCCCTCTCAGTTCAAGAATATATGGAATGAAAACAATTCAACACAGCAACCTCTCACAAGCTAATCACCACAATTGTTTGGCATATAATAGCACTGGCTTTTATTTCATCAAGAAGTTCAGGGCTGTTCAGGTCAGCAAATAAGGAATGGACTTAGTAGTTCATAGTTAACTTTTTTTTTATACTAATAGTTTGAAATAGTCTGCAGCCTTGGACTTCAATAAATTATTTCATAATTATACCTAAGCAGCCAGTAAAATCCTGAGAAAAGCAGTGACAGATCAGCCTACTTTCAGTTTACAAACACACTGAACAGAGCAGTATCTGCTGTAGGGTAGCAAGGGAAGAAATCACAGGCTATCGAAGGTGACAGGATCAAAGGTATCACCAAGTATGAAATTTAAGCCTATAAGAAAGCACTCATCACTCCTTCACTCTGTTTTAAAGTGACTGTCATAAGCTGGAGGGATATAAGAAAAAAATAATCACAAACCTCTGAAGCAGCATTGCTGTGCAGTGCTGCTATTTGCTACTGGGCCTACAAACAATCCAGACCTGTACTTGATCTTAACTCACAGAGGCAGCAGAAGGAAGGTGGGAACCTTCACAGTCCAAGAATCACATACTTGAATTCTTTCAGATGAGAAACAAAATTAACTTACATGCAGCAATGCAGTTCTTAAGTCACTGCGCAAACTGATGCTCTGTTACTTGAGCAAGCAAACTTCACACCTTCAGCTTTGGTACAGCAGTTGAAGAAACCAACATCAATATATATCTGGTCACTTAAAAGTATTGTCCTGATTTTTTCTGTTTCTCAGGAATTACATTCTTAGAAAATAATTTTTGACTGAATGCTATATTAAGAGTAACAAATATTTTGCAGTACTGTGATACCATAATTTCAGTACAACACACATGCAAGACGAAACCTCAACCCACCCACACTTGACAGCTGGAAACAATATCAATCATATTAGACCACTGCAGAAACCAGGTTTGAGATTTGGATGATGAAAACACCAGTGTTTTAGCTGTGAATGGCAAAGTCAAGGCTGCTGCAAGGCGGTTTTGGCCATAAGCAAGCTGCCTAACTTTCCTGCAGCAAGAAGCTGACACACTTTCTGGCTAGAAAATAGCCATAAAATAAAAACGCATGTCCAGTAGACCAAACATCAAACTCTCTGTCAAGACACCCCTACAGTTCAGTCCCAGCTTTGAAGTTGCTTTTCTGCAAAACAACAATAATGTTAAAGAACTTTGTTGCTTTGTCCTCTCCATTTAAAGCACAACTTCTCAACTCTAGCAACTGGGCACAGCACAGCTGTACAAAGGAAATGCAAACAGTACCTTTTGAGGTGTACTAAGAGGTAAAACGACACACACGTGCCCCAGACTTTCAGCTTTCCACAATGCTGCAATAATTGAAGAACTGGAGACCATACCTTTCTAGACATTTATAATATTCTGTAACCTGCTAGTAAATATCAACTCTCAGGATTTTGAAAGCTGGTTAAATGAGGGACATGAGCACCTGCAGACACTGCCAGCCAGTTCTCAAGCCTCATCCTGGAGCTGCTTGGCTTCCAGGTAATCAGCCTTGTTGTTCCTGTCCTGCTAGCTCAGCAAATTTCAGATAGCAAGCGAATAATGGCTGCTTTTCAGAGTGGTACTGCAGGAAGTAACATTTGCTATGGAGCAGAAAGCCTGAGGTATCTTGGCACTGCAACCTTCATGCTTAAAGAAAAAGTGCACTTGGGAGAACTCAAAAAAACCCAACCAACCAACCAAACAAAAAAAAAAACCAACAACCAAACCAGCAAAAGCCACCAAAATTAAATTTAAGGAAAAGTATATGGGCGGGGAAGGGGGCAGAAGTGAAAAGGAAAAATAAAGGCATCATCTCGAGAGTTTGATCATTACCACTTAATAAGGAGATTTCAAAGAATATTCACATAATTTGGTATGATTTTTTGTTTGGTTTTGACAGCTTTAATTTCAGGCTAAAACCAGTTCATAAAGGTTCAGCATGTTGGATGTAACTATATGGTTGGCAAGTCTCATGTACACACTGGAAGTTTGGGGATACATTTAATGACATATTGAATACTTTGCTGCTGACATACCAGCTGACAGATTTACTATCAGTTTTTCTTTAAGAAAAAAAATTAAAAATCCAACAATAATTAGACCAGCAAGATTAGAAGAGTGCCCTAGCATGCAGCACATCTGACTAGCCTACAATTCCCTCTTCACCCCCCTATGACAGAGATAACAGTGGAAAATACCACATATTCAACCTTAGAAATTCCTTGTAGTGCTTAGACACTTTCCTCCCTTGCTATCTGAAGGGTGGAAACCACAAAGAACCACTTGTGGCTTACCTGGGTCAAACAGAAATCAGTTTGTTTTGGGGGTTGTTTTGCTATTTCATTTGTTTAAAAATATGAAATAAAATTACTTTATCTGACCTGAGAGGGCATGGTGAGAGAACAAGATTTAATGATCTATGTCAGACAGAGGTCATTAAGGACTGAGAAAGCCTGAAAAAAAAAAAGACTAAAGTGGGGGAAAGCACTGAATAACTAGCGCAGTACAGGGAACAGAGCTGATGGTCCCACCCACAGTGTATGTGAAATGTTTCTTAAATAGTGTGCCCTGTGTCCAAATCGAACAGATTTTTCTTGTTTGCACCCATCACTATAAACAAACTCTGCCATTGCCAGGACTCAACCACCTACCAGATTACTCTGAACAGGGTCAGCTGGGTCTCAGCTGCAGCACAACAAAGGAAGACAAAAACCATGGCCTCTCTAATTTAAAGCTCATGGTGACATATTGGGCACTGTAGATAATTACAGGGATAAATCTATTAATGTATTTCAGGTGGTAGTCTGGATGGTGATCAGCTGCTTCTTCCTTCCTCTGCAGCTCCACATCAGCCAGATGTTAAGCAAGGAAACACTGCAGAATGGGGTTTGGAAGCAAACCCCATCTCCCCACAATAATGCTTCTTCCCACTATGGGAAATGGGACTTGCGCTAAGGAGAGAGATGAAGACTGCCTGTTAGCTTAAAAGGTGGTTTTAGTTTGCATCGATCCTTTCACTAAGGATTACTGACAGAGCAAGGAAACTAGAGCCACCGAACAGACATCACAGCTCTGCAAAATTTCATTCTGTAAGTATCTTCTTGTAAGCTTTGTAGAGCACGTTTGAAGTGCTACCCAGTATGCTTGCTTGTGGACTGATCCAACAAGAGGTCCTCAACTTGTGGAGAGATGTCTCGCTTTTAAGAAAGCTCTATGGCTCCTCCTCACTTTTGGGAACAAGCCACTTATCTCAGTTGCCACACCCCACCACTGGGGCCACAGGTGAGCTACAGGTGTGCTCTTGAAGGCACAGCACGACCCAGCTACCAAACAAAATGAGCATTTGGGGTCCTGCTTGTTTCCAGGTCATGAGTTTTACCCTGGGTTCAAACGAGAGTCCCTGATCTAATGCATCTTCATTACTTTTTAAGTTTGTAAAGACCTTTTTAAAAACAGGTTGAAATATGTACAGAAGTAACAGTTACAGGATAAGGACTACTATGAAGAAAAACACTGAATAACAAATTAAACTAAAGTGGATTTCTGGATTTAACTACAAAACTTAAGGGATGATGCCAGTCCTACACAATTTGACTGGAAAAAACCAACAACAACAAAAATAATTCAACCAACCTCTGCTGGTTTTCAGGCCAATAGTCATTTCCGCAATTCAAACTAAGTAAACAGCCAACATTAGCAACAGCACTAACTGAGACACATTTTCATGTCAAGGCAAAGAGGACTAGCTTTCCATGAATTTAAGTGCTATTCAAAACAGACAGATGCTCACTGAAAGCATTCTAGTTGCATACATGTGTCATGAACCTATACAATTACATAAAAATCCTCAAAGGGCCAACACACTGGAACCAGTGAGATCAGGGCTGTAATCTTACATTTTAAAGGCTACTGCTAGCAGAGCTACACTAATCTTACTTAGTCTTGATTCCTTCAGCTTTCTCCCCACCTCATTTTCTGCTTCAGAATGTTTAATGGGGGGCAGGGAGGGAATCTATTAATGTATTTTGTAAACCTCCTGATTCTAAATATTTTTTTTCACCTGCTTACTAAAAAATCAGTATTGATTAACAGGATGATTTCTTAAGTCTGTGCAAGAAATGTGATACTATATTATTAAGCCACGATTCCGGATTTGTAACCACAGTATCTGACCTCCTTCAAAAATAAAGCCAGTAGTGGCCACGGCCTTGAAATATGTTTGCAAGGACATCCTAATGGTTCTTCAGCTATGGCCCTGCATAGAGCCCCTGCGTTATCTGGCTGCCAGACCAGGCGCTGGGTAGCTGGCACCTCTGTATTAGCGCACTTCCGTGGTCGCTAGAGATCAGACAGGGATCTGCGTACTTTAGTCTGCTTCGATGCTCCTGCGTTACAGCTCTGCTGCTGCCGCCCTGCAGCTCACTCCACCGAGTTTAGTTGTTCATAGCTCAGGATTCATCCTGCTCCTAATTAATGGGGGAACCGAAGCTCAACAATTACTTTGCAAGCTCCGACATGCGAGCAAGTTATAATAAAGAGACTGGTTCGGGCTTGTTCTGCCACTGCTAACAATTATTCTGTTTTTTTTCACCTCTGAGGAGTTCCCTCCGGAGCGTAGAGCTCGGCCTACCCGGCGTTACCTGTTGTTGGCCAGCTCGTCTCTTGCCACCGGGACAGGGCGAGGACTCTCCCCCGCCCGCGGCTCCCGGCCCAGTCCCGCCGCGGCGCTAACTTCACCCGCCGACAAGGACGGAGGAGCCGCCGCAGCCGGGCGGAGCCGCCTCGTCCCCCGCGGCCGCAGTGCCCCGGCCCCCCCGCCCTGAGCCCCCCGGGCCTGCCCGTCCCGCTGCCCCTTGCCCGGCACAGCCCCGCGGGTGGAGGCTCAGTGGCGCCGGGCGAGCAGGGAGGGCAGCGGCCGCCTTACCTCGGGGGCTGCTGTCCGGCAAATAGGGCGGCGCGGTCGGGGTGACATTGCCGGAGCCGGGCGCGGAGAGCAAGGGGGAACGCTCGTCCATCCCCTTGGCAGCCATAGCTGCGACGTGAAGGGCCCTTCCCGCTGCCGCGCTCTCGGCGTGAGGCGGGGACGCAACCGGGCCGGCAGCGCCGGAGAGAAGGGAAGGAGCGCAGAGGAAGGGGCTGGGAATGAATGAGACCGGGGCGGGGAGAATAGGCGGGAGTTGCGCTAGTTGGACCTGCCTCCTTCCGTGCTCCCGTCACGGGCTAATGAGCAGGGCAGGCCCGAGAGGGCCGGCCTCCCTCTGGTGGAACCCGCAGGGGTGTGCCGCCGCTGCGGCGGGCCGGGCCGGGGCTTCCCGAGCCGGGGTCACTCCCTGAGGTTGCCCTGCGGCCGCCGTGCGGCCTGCCCGCAGCCGCACTGCCGCCGGAGGCGGGTTGCTGCGGGGAGGCGCGGCTTGGCCCGGCCCTGCCTGCCCCAGGGAGTCCCGAGGAGGGGGTGAAGAGACCTCCGTGCAGCTGGTGAGGGCCAGCTGCACGGACTGGTAGAATGAGGGTGGCTTCAGCAGCGCTCCAGGCTTGGGAAAGAGAGGCTGGAAAGCTTCCGGCGGAAAAGAACCTGGGGGTGCTGACCGACGGAGCTGAAGATGAGCCAGCTCGTGTCCAAGTGGCTAAGGAGGCCAGAGTCATCCTGGCCTGTATCAAAACCAGTGTGACCAGAAGGATCAGAGAAGTGATCGACCCCCTCGGCACTGGTGAGGCTGCACCTCGAATCCTGTGTTCAGTTCTGGCCCCTCACTGCAAGAGACATAGGGGTGTTAGAGCAAGTCCAGAGAAGGGTAACGAAGCTGGTTAAGGGCCTGGAGTACAAGTGTGATGAGGAACGGCTGAGGGAACTGGGATTGTTTAGTGTGGAGAAGAGGAGGCTCGGGGGGATCTTACTGCTCTCTACAAATACCTGAAAGGAGGTTGTAGTGAAGTGGGGGTCAGTCTCCCCGGTAACAGGGGATAGGACAAGAAGAAACAGCCTCAAACTGCACCAGGGGAGGTTTAGCTTGGATATTAGGCAAAATCGTTAGGAAAAAAGAAATCTTAGGAAGAATTTTTTAGTATTTCTTCATCAAAAGGGTGGTCAGGCATTGGAACAGGCTGCCCAGGACAGTGCTGGAATCAGCATCCCCGGAAGTGTTAATAAACTATGTAGATGAGGCCCTTAGTGACATGGTTTAGTGTTGGACTTCATGATCTTAAAGGCCTTTTCCAACCTTGCTGATTCTATGATTCTAAGAGGGTATGTGGAGGAGAAACAGAACAACCTTTTTAAAATCATTTTTTTGGGGAAAAAAAAGTGCTTTTGGGCTTTTTTTTTTTTTTTGAGGGGGGGAACAGTTTGTCTTCTCGCCCCCTCCACTGAAATGCTGTGGTTATAAATATGATGCTGGTGAACGCTATAGTTGATTTAACTGCTGCCTTTTCTAGCAGTCTGAGGATGCAGGCCAGCAGTGAGGGCCTCGACTGAGGCATAGTGCTCACTGTGGTGTGAAAATGGTGGTAACCTTTAAGGGCACTCTAAACGTGAGGAGATAAATCCACGGTATCAAATCTGCCGCTTAATTGACAAGTATCTGCCCTAGTGTTACTGAGCTCTCTAAGGACATAGGGACTTAATTTCCTTTTGCTAGACAACCCACTCAGGCATCATCTGGAAGTCTCCAGCAAAGAGGGAAAATAGCTTTCCCTGGTGAATTTTTCAGACTATATTGGGATAAAACAGATGTTTGTCACCCATGTGACCAGAATATAAGCAGTCACCCTGTACACAAGCAGACATGACTGCCAGCTGCCACCCAGCATTCCTACAGTGCCATCACCTAGAACTCAGCCACCTCTTGAAACGCGTTTTGTGGAAGGTGTGCAGATGTTTTCATAAGAACTGAATAAAGATGAGATTTTGTCCTGAGAGTTCATTAATCCCAGTGGTCATACTCCTTTAACAATATATTTTATAGAATAAAATAGGACTTCTTGCATCATGTTGAAAATTTCCTGTGGGAGCTGTTTTTCACAAAAAAAATCTGAGTCTAAGAAATCAAGCCGTTCTATAAGAACAGATGTATTTGAGAGTTTATGAGAAATAATCAAAATATTAGAGGCTGATGTGCTTTATTTCTGTAAAACTTACATTATTCCTTTTTACTTTAACAACTCTAATATGGAATTCTTTAAGAGCTATAATATGGAAATAATACGCTATAGTAATGTGATGGCAAAACACAGTGGCTTTCATCAATTATTTTAATGCTTCAAAAAAAGAATAAACATTTATTTTTAAGCAAATTTTGAAATATTGTTCATTCTCATTTGGGAAGAAAAAGCATATTTGAGCATTATTTCTTGCAGAAATAAGGTGCAGATTTCAGGAAGCTAATGTTATTATATAGAGAATAAAGTGCTACAAGGCAGCTGACTTCTAGCACATTATTCCTTACACCAACAGTCTTCATCATGCAAGAAATGCCATCGTGCCACGTCAAACTGCTCTTCACTTGGAAAATGTGGTCACTACCTTGGAAGATGCTTTATTGGTATAAATTAGATTGAGTTTTCAGTTTTACAGTCAGCTTAAAAAGAACTTCCTCAAGCTCAAATCAATTCTTAAAAGCTCTTTTTTTATGAGGATTTTTAGGGCTTAAGGTGTTTTGTGTCCCAAAATTCTTTGTCTTGAGGTACTTTGAGACTGACCTTGGCAGGTCAAAAGTAGATCACACATACTACCAGTGAGGTTGTATTTCAGCATGTTTTCAGCCAACGGTACTTGCTATCATATGCCCAGTTTTCAACAATTTCAGAGCAGCAGGCTTTCCTTTGGAGTCCTAATGCAGGAATTGTGATTTGCAACCAGGTTTCTTCACAATTTTGCTTGTTTGGGGGAAGACAGATAATTTACAGATTTTACATCCTGTTAAAGCTGCCAACTAGGCAGCGCTGAGTTCTACCAGTGCCCAGTCCACCCTGCTGCAATTACAGTAAATTGTTTCTGTGGGACTTCCTTCTCTGCTGAACTTCTGTTCAGTGCCTCTGAAGAGTAAAAACTTTAAGATCACTCCCAGGGACCTGCAGAGAAATCTACATTACAACTCAGTCTGACAGCTCAAGCCTGCACAAAAGGCTGAGAATGACTGTTAATAAGCATCCCAGCATGCTGACCTGTTCTTGGAAATATGACTGTCATATAAGTGAGTATCCATTTGGGATTAAAAGAAAATACACATTCCTCTAGCCCCTTTAACTTGTTTTTACTTTAAACCCTACTCACCTGAGCAGCTAGACAGTCGAAATAGCAGAAATTATCAACAGTTCAGGCATCTGCACCTGTTTTTCAGTATTTTGAGTCCATGTGCTTAAGGCAGCCAAAGGTTTACAGGATTTTCTAACTCAACCGTTGCAGCCTGATGTGCAGATCTGCTAGCACTGTCTGCAATATCCACATGAAGCTGGATGGACCCAGCTAGTAACAAGGTACCAAAAGGTGTATTGGGAAACAAGGCAAAGCTCTCAGCTGGTAACAAACCTTCTTTGGATGTTACTTGGGCTGTAAAGGGAAGAATTCAAACATTGGATACTGCTAGGCTGAAGACAACTTAGGCACTGAGTGCTTGCTACTTTCTTCTTGATCTTCTTCTTCTAGACACAAATGCCTTATGATATGTGTTTAATTACACTGCTGTGCAGTTTTCTTTCTATGAAAATCCCACCTTGTCTGGTGCGTAGGATGCTCTGAGCTGAGCAGCCCCACTTGTGACTGAACTATCTGGAAGATACATCAGTACTTGAGTTCAGTGCAACATCACAAGCCACAGTGCATAGCACATCATGGTAGTTTCCTTGATTCTTGACCTCATTGCCCCTGGGCTCTTCAACCAGTGAGTCGCACCCTGCATACGCCTCATGCTTGTAACGTGGTACCTCTTCATGCTGCCAAGACATCTCACAGGTTTCCAGCAATAAAGGCTGAGCGATAAAAGACTATGAATGTAACCACATGCCTCTATGAAAAATGCCTCCGTAAGCGCAGGTAAACTGAAAACATACTACTAAACAACTCTGAAAATGGCACAGGCAAATGAGCCAACTGTATCTCTGACAACAATCTTAAAGAATGTTTCTCAAGGTGTCTTCATCTATTTTCACAGAACTGAATCACACAGGTACCTCTCCATCCTGCCTCCAATTTGTGTTGTTTCATATGAACTTCTGTACCAAATAAATATAGGCTGAGCAAGACAGACCATCAGTTACTAACAAGGCTTACATTAAGGAGAGACATAAAATGAACAGTGTGTAACATATTTTCTTCTACTATTTTTAGCTTCCCATGCTTAGTGTGGTCTTTTGAAGAGCTTGGTAATACTCAAGCTTTCTTTTTCTTCATGTTAAAAATATCATCCTTATTATTTTGCTTATTTTCCATAGATTAAAAAAAGAATAAAATCAGATTACTTTAGTACAAGACAAACCACTGAAGCTCACTGTCAAATGCAGAAGTATTTGTATATTGAGACTATAAGCTACTACAACTCCTTAATCTTGCCCTTTAATAAGTAGTAAGTGCAAAACTATCTTAGGGAGTCTGTTTTGTGTTCTGCAGAGTTTTTTTCAGGTAAATCCATTGTCATAGGAGCTGTTCAAAGACATTGAGGACTACCCTGAGCACTTAAAAGATAAAAAAGGGAAAGATAAAAATTCAGGCATAATAGGCGTTATGCAATTTCATGTAACATCTCACCCATAAGGTAAAAAATGGAATACAGTAATTCTTAAGTCCAGTCAAAGGGCTGTTTGCTAAACCAAGTTTCTTCCTAACGGTCTAAAGAAGAGGAAAGAAAAGCCTGGGGTCATTTGTTTTGTACCTGGCCCAGCTCCATGCCACCACAGCCTGAGAAGAATTTTCAGGTGCTATGCAAAGGGTATAATAAGTAGACAGAAATTAAATTTGTATTTTATGTCTAAATCTTTGGATGGTAAAGTCTTACTTTAGAATGCCTTAAAACTGAAAAGCCCATCTATTGCTGGTTTTGATACTGAACAAGACAGTAAAAGAGAACAATACCAATCTGCCATATGAAGTTTGCAGATATTTTTGTCAGTT